AATATTCAGGGGGGACCCTCTAGACAGGGGACCCTCCAGATGTTTCCCACTAGTTCAAGATAAATAAAAAATAAATAAAAACAACTTTTTTTATCGTAGGGTGTGATCGTCTGCTGTGAGGAGTTGCACTGAAGCAACAAACGTCATTTCGTAAAGTTTCTAATCGTTCTGCTGGATGTCTCTACACTCCTGGACTTATCGTCCCTAGACTTCAGCCAAGTGCTTTCCTTTTCATTGCTTAACTTACTGCCGTGTAATGACAAAACTAACCTCAGCGTAACTTGAATTAAATTTACCTTTTATCTTAGGTGCGGCAACAGTTCGCTTGGCTGGTCGGAGTCTTCTTTGCCATGCTGTGCTGAACCAGCACATCAATGGAATTATGGAATCCCAATGAGGTTTAACCTGGACCTTGAAATCTCGATGTGAATAGTTCTCTTTGAGTGTACTTTCATCGGACGCATAATAAATTACCTCATACCACATCCTTGTGAATTTTACTCACCCGTGCCAACCAGTAATGTCAACTTTAAATTTTGTATTGAGTAGTGTGTTGTGGTGTGGTGGTATGTAGTGTATGACAGCATGCCATTTCTGATATTTTAGGTGTTTTCAACTCACTTATGCCACACCTTTGATCTCACATGTGTTAAACCAGAGATGTTATTTAATACTCTTGTAATTGCTAATTGAATCGATGGAGCACTTCACTCGTAAGAAGAGCAGGAAGGAGATGGCCGCTGGGACCGGTGGTGGGGGTAGGAACATAACAAACATTCATTTGTTTAGCAGACGAAGCGTGAGACCGACGCGATCTTTCTGCCTAACGCTTTTCGCGCAGTAGTAAAATTAATACAAATTTGAAGTGATTAAAAGATTTCTGCACTTGCGCAACACTGCCTCACTTAAGTTTAGTCAAACAGCGTTGTAACCGAAGCAACATTGGCCAGCGCGCGGAAGAGGTAAAGTAGAAAGATGGCGTCGGTGCTGATAAACAACTGAATGTTTGTTATGTTCCTGCCCCCACCACCGGCACCAGCGGCCATCTTCTTCTTGTTCTTCTTTAGAGTGAAGTTCTCTATACATTCATCTAACTAACTAGCAGAACTAGTATGGGTTTAATTTCTTTTAAATAGCTTCACATTAATGAGACCCTTTTTTCTGTGCCCTCTCCTGTATCATTATTACAAATATGTGAGCTTTGAAGTTCAAAAGATTGTGCTCTGAGCAAGCTGTTGATCCTGGCGTTTTGAAATTGGAGATTTAAACACACAGCCTCTCTATCACTATCTACTCGGTAATAGGTAGAGGTTGAGAATAGTGACTGTCATTTCTGATTTGATCAATGTGCGGTCTAGCCTACTCATATTGTGCAGTAAACCTCATTTACTTCAGAAACGGCATGCTGTCATACACTTCATACCATCGCAATACAGTACTTACGTAATACAAAATTTACATTTGACATTTCTGGTTGGCACGGGTGAGTTGAGTAAAACTCACAAGGATGTGGTATGATGTAATTTATTATGCGTCCAGTGAAAGTACACTCAAAGAGAACTATTCACATCGAGATTTCAAGGTCCAGATTAAACCTCATTGGGAATCCATAATA